AAGGCGAAGCCGATGGCGCCGATGCTCCCGCAAAGGAGTGAGCCCCGCCCGGCTTACAACCTCGCCCCATGAGCGACTGGCTCCCTCAACTCTTCGAAGGCATCGAGCGCTCGCCGTGGTGGCTGGAGCACGCGCCGTGGTGGGCGGCCGCGCTGTGGTTCGCGGCGGTGGGCGGGTGCGTCGGTAGCTTTCTCAATGTCGTCGCCCTACGTAGCCCCAAGGGCGAGGACATCGTCGCCCAGCCGAGCTGCTGTCCCGTGTGCGGCCATCGCATCCGCCCGTGGCATAACCTGCCAATCCTCGGTTACCTGCTGCTGCGAGGCCGTTGCCGCGACTGCCACACGCCGATCCCAATCCGCTATTTCCTTTGGGAGTTGGCGTTTGCCGTGCTGTTCGCGGTCGTCGGCATGTGGAGCGTCGGGAGATTCTTCCGTTAGCGCCGACGGCTCCGTCTTCAGTCGATGGTTCGGACTCGGATTAAGCTGGTAGCCGTAGTCCCTCCCTTATCCCCTCAGCCCCTGGCCCCTCCCCAATGCGTCTCACCTTCCACGGCGCCGCCGGCACGGTCACCGGCAGCAAGTACCTGCTCGAAGCGGACGGCGCCTCGGTGCTGATCGATTGCGGGCTCTTTCAGGGGCTCAAGCCGCTGCGTGAGCTGAACTGGGCGGGCACGCCCTTCAAGGCGCCGGCGGTCGACGCCGTGCTGCTGACGCACGCCCACCTCGACCACGTCGGCTATCTCCCGAAGATCTGTAAGGAAGGCTTTGCGGGGCCGATCTATTGCACCAGTGCGACGGCCAAGCTCGCCGAGATCATCCTGCTCGACTCGGCAAAGATCCAAGAGTCCGACGCCGCCTACGCCAATAAGAAAGGCTACAGCAAGCACAAGCCGGCGCTGCCGCTCTACACAGGGCAGGACGCGATGAACGCCATCAAGCGTTTCCACCAGACGCCGCTCGACGACTGGCGCAAGATCGCCGGCCCGATCTGGGCGCGGTGGCACGACGCGGGGCACCTGTTGGGATCGGGATTAATCGAGATCGAGATTCGGCGCGAGAAGGACCCGTCGAAGAAGCCGACACGCATCGTCTTCTCCGGCGACGTCGGCCGCTATGACGGGCCGCTGTACCACGACCCGTCTCCGCCGCCTGAGTGCGACTACCTGATCTGCGAGAGCACCTACGGCAACCGCGAGCACCCCGATGTCAACCTTGTTGATGGGCTCGAAGCCGTTATCAAACGTGGCGTCGAACGCGGCGGCGTGATGCTGATGGCGTCGTTCGCGGTGGGTCGCGCGCAGCAGCTTATTTATCTGCTTCAGATCCTCAAGTGCCAGGGCAAGATCCCGGACCTGCCGATCTACCTCGACAGCCCGATGAGCGTCGACGCGACGAAGATCTATCGAGAGCATTGCACCGAACATGACCTCAGCGAGACCGAACTCTGCGGCGTCACCGGTAGTTGCCAGGTCGGCGACCGTCCCGTGCTCGGGGGCGACGCGGTCCACCTCTGCCGCAGCGCTGAGGAGTCGAAGGGTCTCAACAACATCACCGGTCCCGCGATCATTCTGGCCTCGAGCGGCATGATGGACGCCGGCCGGATCGTCCATCACTTGAAGCGTCGCCTCCCCGACCCGAAGACGACCGTCATCCTTGGCGGTTATATGGCGGTCGGCACACGGGGTCGCCACCTCGAAGAGGGCGCCCCGTTCATTCGCATGCACGGCCAAGAGGTCCCCGTCCGCGCCGCGATCGAAAAAGTCCCCGGCCTCTCCGGCCACGCCGACCGCAACGGCCTGCTGCGTTGGCTCAGCGCGATCAAGCAGCCACCGAAGCAAACCTTCCTAACCCACGGCGAACCCGACAGCGCCGCGGCGCTCGCCGAAACGCTGCGGGCGGAGCGAGGATGGAGCGTGACCGTGCCGGCGATGGCGGACTCGGTGGAGTTGGGCTGAGTGATCAATTACCAAGCCCCAATGACCAATGAGGGCAACGAAGGTGAGCCGTCGGCGCTAGCCGCGGGTGAGCCCGCCGTTTAACGGTAAGCAAGGCCGCTTCCACCCGCGGCTAGCGCCGACGGCTCACATCGATTCCGCGGTCGCCTTGGTCATTTGGGCTTGGTCATTGGTCATTCCCCAACTAACTCCTCTGCGTCTCCGCGTCTCCGCGCGATATGCTAGCCCCGCCGCGGTCGAGGACGACGCGGCTCTCGCCCTTCCTTACTGCTGCGGTCTGCCCGCTGCCCCCTGCCTGCTAGCACCCTATGGTCAACAAGCCCTCCAAGCACATCGGCCCCTCCGCCCGTAAGCCCGCGGAGCCAATGGACGTCGCGCCCGACTTCTCGCTCGATGCGCGGAAGCAGGTGCTCCCGCCCGAAGTCGAGGCCAACCGCGAGGCGATCCTCGCTTCTCCCACCTACGTGCTAGCGGAGAAAGACACCGAGTGGCTCCGCGACTCTTCAATGCGACCGGTGCGGATGCAGCTGGAGCTGCAAAAGACCGAGCTCTTGCTGGTCCGGGCCGGCATCAAGAGCACCGTTGTTGTCTTTGGCGGCACACAGATCGTCCCGCGCGAAGAGGCCGAGTCGAAGCTCGCCGCGGCGAAGGCGGAGCTCGCCGCAGCGCCCGACAGCCAAACCGCAAAGCGCGCCGTCGTCCGCGCCGAAGCCCGCCTCAAGAAGAGCCGCTTCTACAACGAGTGCCGTGAGTTCGCGAAGATCGTCAGCGGGCGTTGCCAGCTCGACGGCAAGTGCGAGTTCGTCGTCACCACCGGCGGCGGGCCGGGCGTTATGGAGGCGGGCAATCGCGGCGCGTTCGAGATCGGCGCCAAGACGATCGGCCTCAATATCGAGCTGCCGCACGAGCAAGAGCCCAACCCTTACATCACACCGGAGCTGTGCTTTCAGTTTCACTACTTCGCGATGCGGAAGTTCCACTTCATCCTCCGCGCGGCGGCATTGGTGGTCTTCCCTGGCGGCTTCGGCACGCTCGACGAACTATTCAACACGCTCTGCCTCCGCCAGACCGGCCGCATGCAGGCGATCCCGATCATCCTCTACGGCAAAGAGTACTGGGACTCGGTGATCAACTTCCAGGCGCTCGCCGACGAGGGCGTCATCGCCGACGAGCACCTCGACCTGATCAGCTACGCCGAGACACCCCAAGAGGCATGGGACCTCATCGCGAAGTTCCACAACGTGGTGTGATCCGCTGCGGCTCGAGTTACACTGATTCTCAGCGATGCGGCCTCAAGGCTCAGCTGCCTTCGAGGCTAGTGCCCATATCCCAACGACAACCCATCTTCCAACGACAACAACGTTGAGAAGCAACTTGTTGCACCGACAAACGACGAAGATTGCGACGTGGCTTAGTGTTGGCTCCGCATCGCTGTCGGCGGCGTGCGCGATGGCGTCAACGGGAACTTTCATCGATCGCCATCGACCTGACGACTTGCGAGTCGTCAGCTACAACGTCTACTTCAATAGCGCTTTGTTCTCTAACAACGGCGCTGACCCTACGACGCCAAGCCGCTTTCAGCGGCTCGTCAAGGCGATGGACCCCGACATACTCGCGCTTCAGGAGATGTCGCCCGGGACGGCCGAGGAGGTCGCGACGTTGCTCAACGGTTTAATCCCATTACCCGGAAGCGCCGGCTGGCAAACGCACCAAGTCTCAGACAACGTTATCGCCAGCCGGCACCCCTTTCTCTTGACGACGGGCAGCGTCGGCCACGCCGACGCTTTGATCGACTTGCCCGACGATCGGCACGCATCGGACATCTA